TGGATCTTTCCATTCCAGCTTGTTCTTTAGCAGATGGGGATGCGATGCTGTCAATTAAAGCAGCAGCTCAGATTAAGTGAACTGACAGCTAAAATGTTCCCTTTTAGGTAAAACAGAAGCTTAGCAGAAAAGCGCTGAAGCCACAGCTAATGAACAATTTAGCATAATGAAGAAATAAGAAAAACTGAAGGCTACTCGGTGTTTCCAGAGTCCTCGAGGTGATTATACGTAGCTGCAAGAACAGCCCGCAAACTGTAGCTCGTCTACAAACTGACAGGAGAAAATCCTCATACTTGAATATTTATTGGCATTTATTATCCTACTTACAGCTTTCTTCCTCCATGTGATGCAAAAAAACAACATTTGGGCTGGTATAAAATTCTAGACATGAGCTGACGTGAAATTCTGACAACGGATCAAAACTTGAGTGAAAATACTACTGTTTATTGGTACACAAAACAAGTATGAAATTATCAAATTGCTTTTGTTCAAAGACAAAAATACAGCTATTACACCTGCTGCTTTAATGTCACGAACCAGCTATGTTTACATGGACATAAGTAATCGGATCTCTCTTTTAAGATCCACGTCAAAAACTTTAAAAAAAAAACTGAAAGCAAAAGGGAGTTTCTTTTTCAGAAATAGATCCTGTCTAACTCTGAATGTTATGAAACACCTTGTAACCGTGACTTTCCTTCCCTCCATTGACTACGGTGACATTATTTACATGAACGCTCCTACAAGCACCCTGCAGTGCACCAAGATTCATAACTGGGTGTAACTACCTTACCCATCATTGCACCCTGTATTCACTGGTTAACTGGTCATCATTAACTTCACGCAGACTCTCTCACTGGTGCATTTTCATCTTTAAATCACTTCTTGGTCTGCTGCCTTCATACATCTCCTCCTACATGTCAATGTGTGAAGCTCCTACCAACCTTGACCTCCAAGTGGCTTCAACCAGCTGCCAAGTTCATGGCAAAAACCAATACTCTTGTCATCATCCTTTGTTAAAAACACGCCTCTATTGTAATCGAGTCCTCAAGGCTCAGTGAGACTAACCTGTATAAATAAAGGTTGAATTGAACAGAGACGTTGGGGTCTTTGTTGGTTTGTCTTTAAACAGGTGCTTTGACTGCATGCCTATAGGTGTGAATTAGAGTGAAAGTGACTGGATATGTACATCTCTAGAGGAATGCACTGTAGGTTTTGGAAAGCTGAGACCTCTGCCTAAAGTTGGCAGCAGTCACAGGTACCTAACAATAAACAAGTTTTATTTAATAAAGGGTTAATTTTAGGAAGATTTCTCTAGCTCGACCTTCATTCACAGCAGAGTGATAAATAGTAGAAACAGATGACTGGAGAAAATCCCTCTAATATTTCTGGTATCGCAAAAAAAAAAAACAAGTTGAAACCCCAGAAGGATATGATCAAAATACCCCGTGGTTTAGAAACAGATTTTTCAACAGCTTGAAACCAGAGACCGTCCCATGAGTATTCTTCGTACAACGCCAGTTGATCCAAAACAAGCCAACATCGAGGCACCGCTTGGACACAACGTAATGGACATATGAGAAACTTAAAGGGCAGCAGTCAAATGTAATTTGTGAGACAGACTTTGCCTCCTACTAACCCGCAGACCCCTCCAGCCTCGTCCTCTTAGTTTAGCGTTATAGTGAGCACTGGATGTGGGAGGGTTGTAGACCAGGTCAGACCAAAGATCATCAACTAATTACAGCGCTGAAGCACTCAGCTTTTGTTAGATTGTTTAGAAGGTATGGGGGACATGTGCCTCCCTGGTGAATTGCACATAATTAGTGAAGCCAAGGTCACAAACAAACAAACGGGTCGCACAACAGCCGTACACACACACTATTCTTCTTCTGTCTTACTTCCTCTGCTCGTGAGCTCTTTTCCCTCTGCCTTGCTCTCTCAGGGGCAACAAGCCTCTATTAATTTCCTGAATGAATAGCCAACCAACTACTTAACAGTTATTTAAGGACGCTCGCATTTTATGCACAATGCATGCTCTGTCGTATTAATTACTTTTAGTCTAAGGCTTTAAGGAATATTTAATGCATCTATTAGAGCAACATAAAACAAACAAAAGTGATCCGTTAGCATGTTGCGTTTTTCCCCCTCGTTAAATCATCGCCAACACAGTTCAGGCTGTTTAATCTTTTACCGTCCATTTACAAAATACATATTGCCTAATCAAGTTAGATTAACTAAAATGGCCGTTCTTTAAAGAGTCACATCCAAGTCAAGACTGTTGTTTTTAAACAGCATCGCAAAAGACGCGCTACGACAAAGTAACGAGAGATCACGGGGTAATAAATATCAGTAGTGAAGCTGAATCCACCATCAGCTGGTACAGTTGGAATTGACAGACGGCTCGACCGTGACCGCCGAGAGTCGGGTCGATTAGAAGACCCGGTGGCCAAGAGGATTTGGGATGAAGTGACGAAGCAAAATGAAGTTTGGTGCTGCGGTCTGTATGTGATTATCTGCTCTCCAGACACTCGGGCCTGGTTTAGAACATGTAAGGGAATCAACAGAGCCCACCAGGGGTCGTGATGAAATAAAATCAAGACGGTCTCTTAGTTTATTAAATTGTAAGCATGGATTCAAAATCAACTCCCTCAGTTCAGTTCATTTGTGCGTGCAGATCTACAAACACTAGATCTTCATTTGGGTTCAGTAACATGGAAAGTTAGACAAAAAAACATTTTTCAGTTTTACCCACTGACTTTTATTAAAGTAGGAGAGCTGGCATTTTAAAATCATTTTATTTTATGTCATCATATTTACCGTAATTTCCGGACTATTGAGCGCACTTGAATATACCGTGTTTTTTGGCCTGTAAGTCACAGTTTTGTGCAAAACTTACATGCGTCCATTAAAGTGCATTTATTAAGCAAACATTACACTGAGACACACCTTTGCTATAATTTCAAGCAAACAAATAGTTGTTTAGGTGTTTATCTTGTTAAATTTGCACAGCGACTCGTCGCGTGCACTCGTTTCCTTCCACGTATCAGCTTTTGAAATACAGCTGATTTCACCGTCAAAGTGCATTTATTAAGCAAACGTTAGATTGAGACACATATTTACTATAATTTCGAGTAAACACACAATTGTTTTTAACTGTTAATCTTGTTAAATTCTAGTTAAAGTCCGCCCGTGTACGCTCCTGCGGCAGCCGAATGACTTTTGGCACAACACCGGCCCACGTTTCCAGGTTTCAGCGGTGACGCATAATAGATGTGACAAATACAGCGAAGCAACATATTTATGGATTTTTCCACTTTATTAAACAAATATGGACTGAAGCGACTTATAGGGTGGAGCAAAGTGTACGGTGGAAAATACGGTAAGCCACACCACCAACAACAACAAAAAAGTACATAAATAGGCGGCGCTTGTCTATAAGCCGCATGTGTTCACATTGTAACATGATATTTACACTGAAAGATTTTTTATTTTATTTTAATTAAATACAGGCTGGTAACATACACAAATACGTACAGTATTTTTATGTATGTTTTCTTAACATTGCCATAACAGGGCTGGATAAAGTACTATGTTGTACAAAGGTCTACCCCTCCTCTCCCACTGTAACCTGTTGGGTAATTTCATTGATCAGATTATTTTTATTAAAACCTTTATTTATACAGGAAGTCTCATTGAGTCACGAGGACCCGCCTCCCAGGAAAGACAAGTACTGGGCAGCTATGTGAGTGCCCAGGTGTGACGAGGCTAAATGTTTTGACTGCATGAAGCTCGTTAGCCCGTCAAAAATAATAAATAAATGAATTCCATTAATTAGCCGCAGCATTGTATAAGCCGCGGTGTTCAAAGCATGTGACAAAAGTAGCGGCTTATAGTCCGGGAATTACAGTACGTTTTGTTCCATAGCATCTTGTATTATCTTTTTAGTATTTATAGTTTTGCATGGAGCACTTTCTATATATGCAATATTAATTAACATGATTTGATTTGTTTAAATAACCCATCGAACCTGAGAAACTACAAACATGTCTGCAGCAGAAAAGTAGACCATACACTGCAGCCTAGTTTTCATTTCAACGGGTCAAAGTATAAACAGAACAATTGTTTAGTCACTGTCAAAGCAGCACAAAACAAGTTTGTAGAAAATGATACAAACTGGCATGTTTTGATTTTACTTGCTGGATTAATAATAAAAAGGAAACAAATGTTTGATTTAATATGTTTAGACAGGGCCACTTTATTGCCATAATATGAGGTGATAAAATGAACGGGTGCCAGTCCGATTTGTAATTTAAGACATAATTAACTAAAACAGTTCATCAGCATTATCATCAGCGTTATAGGGTTTAGGCAAAAATTCAGACAGTTCTATTGATGCTTTGGAATATTACAGCCTGATGTTGTGATTTGTAGATCTTTAATGTCTTGTCTCACTTCTGGTGTTGAGCTTTCATCTGTTCCCACTAAGAAAATGACACTAAACGCAACACCTGCTGCCTGTAGACACAAAAGGTGTCGGGAGTGAGTGCGTACGGTTCAAACCGGGGGAAGGGATTGGAAATCTATGGGTATAAATGTAAAAACTGTGAGTTCGGACTGTAAATCCATGTGCATGTCTTTCTAATCTAATGGAACAGATTTCTATTAACTCATTTTATTTCATCCTTGGGTTGCTCTGTACATTTTAGAAGCTCATATAAAGAAGCTGTGGTGTACACGTATGTTCCATCTGGTTTTATAATCATCAGAACGATGAAAACACTACGAATACAAGTGATTTACAGACGACTATTCACATTTTTATACCTGTTAGGGCATAAAATTTGGTTATTCAGTGTAATTAATGGTCGTATTTTGTATGTTTGCTGGCAAGTTAATACAATTATATAAGGCACTTTTAGTCAAACTGTGGTTTATTTTATTTTGTTTATTCTACGAATCAAAGTCAGACCATTTTAGTCTCCTAAACATACACACAAGCTTACCTGGATGCCGTCCAACAGTTTGCTCATGCACCAGAAGCTGTCAGCCTCAATGTTCCTCAGAGCCTCTTCCTCAAGACTGGACACGTCAAAGTTTTCCACTTCCTCCTCTAGAGGAGACAAAATGAGAGCAATAAAAGAGTCAGGAATTTACTTTGCGGGAGGACGGAGATGGACAGTAAATGAGCCGGTGAGACAGGTAAAAGAAAAGTGGAGTGAAAGTTCAAGCAATGCGCTGGGAGAAAGAACGACTAAAAAGGGATTGAGTGCAAATCAAGGCATCCGGCACAGCGAGAGCTCTGACATAAGCCCGCTATTCAGACGAGCAGGTTGCAGGTGTTTGAAGAGGCCAAATTCAAGAGGGAGAGTGGGATCAAGTGAGGAGGTAATAGGGTTTGTTACAAAGGAGTTGTATGGGAAGGAACAGAGATGCTGCGCAGGAAGACCATGTCAGGAGGCGCAAAACAGACTCATCGAGAAGCTGAATGATAATCATCTCTTTAAAACAACAGCTCAAGCTTATGTATGGCCTTCTTGAACATTTAGAAAATGTCTGTGAACAAAGAAGAACTTGAGAAATTGCATTTCCTGCAAAAATGCCTATTGGTGAAGAACTTGCTGAAAAACAGCTTAAATTACAGGTGGCTACGAAACATGCTGATTGTAGATGAAATGGAAGAACAAGCCTAAGTTAGCAGAAGAAAGCAGAAAGAACACATTTGCTGAATTACGTTTAAATAATGAGCATAAAAAATTAGAAATTTGCTAAAAATTAGCACGGAAAATTGCTGAAAATTAGCTGAAATTGCAAAAAAAAAAGTTATAACTAGTAGAAAAAAAACTGAAAGGAGCATAGCAAGCTGAAATGACCATAAATAAGTTAATTAGGTTGAAAGTAGCAAAAATTACCATAAAAAACTTGAAATTATCTGAAAACAGCTGAAATACATGCTAAAAAGGTAGCTGATAAAGTAGAACAAGCTTAAATTAGCAGAAGAAAGCAGAAAGAACATGTGGTTGTCCAATTAGGCTGAAAGAAGCAGAAATTAGCATAAAACATGAAAATTATCTGAAAAATGATTGAATTAGCAAAAAAAAAAAGCTGAAATCTGGCTGAAACGGCAGAAGCTTAAATTACCAGAAGGAAATGGAAAAAATTGAAATGAGCTAAAGAATGTGAAATTAGCTGAAAAGGCTTAAAATAACATGAAACAACTAAATAGTAGAAAAAGCTGAAACTTGCAGAAATAAGCTGAAAGGAGCAAAACAAGCTGAAATTAACAGAAAGAAGCTAGAAGCACACACATGTTCTAGATAGCAGAAAGAATATGAAAGCAGCACAAAACAGCTGAAAGTAGCTGAAAAAAAGTTTAAATTTGCACAAGGAAGCTGAAAGAAGCTGAACCAGAACCAAATGTGAAAGGAGCAGTTAACGGTTGTGAACAGAGCTAAAGATCTGAAGGATGTAAAATGAGCTCAATTCAATTTCTATGAGGAAAAAAAGGCAGAAAAGGCTAAATATTTCAAAAAGCTAAAGTTGCACTAATACCAAAAGTCACAGTAGGATTGTCCTGAAGGAGCTGAACGTTTTGATTTATGATTTGTTGAAATAACTTTACAACTGCAGGATGAGAAATATGCTGAAAAACATACAAATATTGGCTCACGATAGTGAGAAGCATTCACACCATACGCTCAATTTTTGTTCACGATGGTAAATTTAACATTTTTTTAAAGAAAAGCACAAAAAAATCCTGCATTTGTAGCTGAATTACCAGCTGAAAACAGAATTCACAGAGCTGCATTGAAAGCTTCTAATATCGTGCTTTTGAACTTGATTTCATCATTTTACCCTTGCAAGTCATAATTTGTCTAAATATTGGGATTCCAAAGGGATGTGAGGTGGAAGACAAAGTGTCTGTAGATAAGTAAAGCAAAGTTGGGTTTAAACGTATCCTGAGGCGCGCCGCACACTGAACAAAAGAAACAATTTCAAAGCAGCAAGCTGACTGAGTCCCCAGTCATCTCCAGTGGATGACTTCAGCGACGGGTGTCATCAGATGTCATTAATGGCAGCAGTGTGTGACGGACTGCAGGGGCTCTGACGGGCTTCTGACAAGCCACTGACAGCCAGTGGAGTGAAGATGGGACGAGACTGATTAACAATGATCTGGAGAGAGAGAGGGGGGGGGGGGGGGCAGGCGATAGAGACAAAAAGAGCAAAACGTGTCTGTGGTAGCAAAATACAACCAAAAGGGATCGTATGTGTTTAGGTGAGTTTGTGCATTTTTTAAAAGACATTCAAGTACAAATTTAGGACCTGGCAGCTCTGTTTGGTATCCTTGGCAACCCCCATGGAAAGCTGTCAATGTTTTAATGAGCATGCTCAGTCAAACGGACGGAAAAGATGGACAGAGAGCTGGCAGTGGGCCAGCACTATAAAGCTAGAACCTGCTAGCCCGAACACTTTCATCAGTGTTTTGCCTGCTTCAAGCCAGGTAAAGACGGACAGAATCGTGAGCAAGAGGCTTCTGCTCCCTCGTTTTATTCCATCAAACCAGGTCAAATCAGAAAGAGCAGATGTAAATAAAAATCTCATTTTGCTCTCTCATCTGATGAGTACACCTAACTAGATGTTCTGGGGCTGCATTGTGATTAATGCAAACACGTAAAGATGCATGATATCTAAAAAGTGTAAGGAGCGAATGCTCAAAGAGGACGAGGTCATCTAAAAGAAAAACAATACCAGCTGATAAATGACAATTTTGCCTGAATTGCTGCGGCTGATGAAGTCAAAGCCAATCAACTAGATCTAATGGCAGTGTTTGAGCAGCTGTTGTTACTGCGCAGAAACAAAAGCGTCCACCATCTGACCAATTTAGACTCAATATTTAATTTAAAAGCTCCTCTGCACTGATGCAGAAGACAATGACGTTACATAAATACGGGTCTCCGTGGGATGCAGCAACCCTGAGCGCCAGCGACGGCGTTAAATCTGCAGTTGAAAAGATTAATTGCGAACAGACTGACTAGCCATTCGCGTGGTGTCACTGCTGATTAACAGGGCGGGGAGAACGCCACCGCTCCAGCGTTTTGGGAGACCCTGAGTATCCCAAAGTCTCAAATCAGTCTTTGTCTTGCCCATGGCCTTGCTGTCAGGCAGAGTCCCAAACCAGGGCCTCGACTCAGGAGCAGATTAGAAGGGACGGCTTCCAAGTGTCCGGTGGTTGCACTGGAATTAGGCATAGCTCATCACAATAACAAGGACACACAAGAGGAAGGGATAAGAGGAAGAGAGGCCATAGATGAAACGTGCCTAAGCCATGGACAGTTTGTTCGAATGACAGGGCAACACTGCCCCCTGTGGTCATTACGAGAACTGACAATATCCTGTTTTACATGGATCAGTGGTTAAAAGCTAAAACTATTTTCTAAGTCAGGTAACTTTCTATTCACTGCTTTGAGGTTAAAATATCTATTACACTCTTTATATCTACTTTCACCCTTGTAGAAAACTATTAGTAACCATAAAATACATTTAGGACCATGAGGCCACCTTTACTTACAAATGTAAATAAACTGACAGATATATATACCAGTATATACAGTATATACATAAATATACACATACAGTACATATATATAGGCTAATCATAAATGTAGTACTCCCTACACCTTGTGCATGTACATATCTTCTTTTTCCAAATTTCTGTATTATGCTTCTTTTTGGGATTATTTCATTTGCTTTTTTCTTTTCCTGTATAACTAGAACATGTTACTGGATGCCTCAAACTTCCCCCTGGGATTAATAAAGTACCTATCTATCTAGCCATCTATCCATATATCCATCTGTACCCATCTACCTTTCTATCTATATCTTTCTACCTACATCTATCTACCTTTCTATCTGTATCTATCAATATCTATACATCTATATCTATCTACATCCATCTATATATCTATATCCATATCTATCTATGTATCTATACATCTATATCCATATCCATCTATATATCCATATCCATCTATATATCTATATCCACTATATATCTATATCTAGATCCATCTATATATCCATACATCTATATTTATATAGCTATATTTATATATCTATATCCATCTATATCTATGCATCTCTATAACTATATCCATCTATATATCTATACATCTGTATCTATCATTTATATATCTATATTTATATATCTATATCCATGTCTATATCTATACATCTATATATTTGTATATTTATAACTGTATCTCTTAATCAATCTCTCTCTCTTTATCTCTCTCCATTTCTATCTCTGTCTCTAGTTCTCTATTTCTATCTCTCTCTACTTCTATCTCTACTTCTATCTCTCTCTACTTCTATCTCTATTTCTATCTCTACTTCTATCTCTCTATCTCTATCACTCTGTCTCTATCTCTATTGCTCTCTCTCTCTCCATCTCTATCTATCACTCTGTCTTTCTCTCTATCGCTCTGTCTTGATCTCTTTCTCTCTTTAGCTCTCTATCTCTCTATCTATCTATCTCTCTCTCTCCATCTCTCTCTCCATCTATCTATCTATCTATAAGATCATAGCAACTGAAGAAATTACTACCAGTAATTATTTTTGAACGGGTCCAAGCCCAGAAGAAATTCTTTCAAGAACTTCTCACGGTGGTTGCTTCTGGATCTCACAAGTCTGGGACCTGATCTTTGAGGGAACGTGTAACAAACGCACCAGGGAAAGGTAGATTTTTGGAGGTTCAAGCCAAAATGAGCTTTAAGTTCGTGAAAGTCTCTGCAGCTCAATTTCTGTCTGAGACGTGGCTCAATAATTATCCTCTGCCAAATAATACGCCGACGATCCTCTGAGGGAGAGCGTTGAGACAGCAGATACTGACAATCACGGCGGCAGGGGATGAGAACGTGTTTGACACAGCCAAGACACGGCGAACAAAGAGATGAAAATAGCATCAAAGTGATCAAAAAGCACGAGCAAACAGACCACAGCCTGAGAGGCCTTGTCAAAGAGCTGACACTGGGAGAAACAAGCCTCCATGACAAAACAAAAAGATCTGATTACAGAAAGTAATTGTTTGAAAAGCAACTTAACCTAGAAGTCATG